TCAAATTTCCTCAGGTGTTTCAATGGCATTCATTATAGCTCTTTTTTCCCAATCCAGGATCCAATCCAGGATCACATGTTGCATTTAGTTGTTAGATTTCTTCAGTCTCATTTAACCTGGAAGAATCATTTTTTAAAAGCATTTAAAGAGTATTATTTTAATCAGATGTTTTTCTTCAAACAATGAGAAATCATTTACTTTAGAACCTGGAGGTTTCAATGGAATATTGGTTAGCAAGTATCTTTGGAACATGTGAAGATATTCTATAAAGTTAGGTCCAAGTAAAATAACAAAACAGGGCGCTTTGGATAGTTTGGAAGGGAGATGGTGGAGGGGGCAAAGACAGCAGCTGTGAAGAGTAGAAAGAGATCAGTATTTACTTGACTCCCAGTATGGCAGAGACTGGTTATGTGTGAACTGACCATGCTTTCTAGACTGTCCAAGTTCTGGAGATGGGTCCATAGTCTCATTATCTTCCCAGCCTTCCATTGTGTTTTCATTTGTTCACCCCATTTGTTTTGCCATTTTTCTATTCCTTCACACTGGCTTTTGCCCTTGTTGAAAATGTCACTTGTGATTCTTTAATTTTCTTTTTCCAGATGGTTTCTACTCAGTTTTCCTAAATTCTTGTCTAGTTTGCTTCCCATTTCACACCCCGGATTCCTACTCCTCAGAGGCAACTTGACAGCTCATAGTTGTGTGTTCTGCCATTTACATGGACACTTCATACTTCTGAATAACATACACGTACATGTACTTGATCTCTTTTCACACATTTTAGACACTTTCTACTGGCTTTCTACTCTGTTCTTCCAGACCTCTGTTCACAGATGTTTTTATTTCTTCCTCATTCTTCCAGTTCTGTTATTGTCATTTTTAGTTAAATGAATGTTTAGTGTTTATATAATTATGATAAGGTAAATATTTTTGCATTTGAGTTGCCTTTATTGTGTAATTTTATATTTCCTAGAGTTAATAATTGCTTTAATTTTTGGTTTCCTTAATTTTCTATGCTGTATACTAATTCTTTTACCCAAATCCAATTTAATCTCTCAAGTGTGAGCAAACAAGTCACATAATCCATCAATTTCAGGTTAAAAAATTTTTTTATTTTAAGCGTCTTCCTTTTGGAGCCTAGGCTGGTTTCTCCTTCTCTTTGCTACAGAGCTCCTGGGGAGAATTCGCTTCATATCTTTTTTTTGTGTTAGATTCTGGGTTTCTGGTAACTCATGTGACTGGTGTTTTGGTGTAACACAATCTCTAGTTTACTCTAAGAAAGAATGATGGGTATTTTTTTTTAACACTGTATGTCTGAAAAACGTCTTTACCTAATTTAATTGATAGTTTGGTTATCAAATTTTAATCTGGAAGAATCTTTGTCGTTTTTTATCTTCACAGTTTTGAAGACTTTGGCATAGTTATTTTGTAGAATGTCCTTCAGTTTGGTTTGTCAAATGTTTCTCCATGGTTAGATGCAAATTATTCAGGTTATGCATTTTTGGCAAGAATGTCACCGCAGAAGTGATGTGTCTTTCTCAGTCCATCACATCAGAAGACGAATGTCGGTTTGTCCCAATGCTGAGATACTGACTTTAATCACAGGGTTAAAATGGTGTTCGCTGGGGTTCTCCACTGTAAAGTTTTTATTTCCCCTTATTAGTAATTAATATGTACTTTGTGGGAAGATACTTTGAGATTCTTTAGTATCTCATCAAAAGTTCACTCACTCGTTTAGTGTCCATTGATAATTTCTAACTCCAACACTTCTTCTATATTTATTAGTTGGCTATTTACTTTAAAAAAAAAGCTTTCGCTTTTCCTCCCATTTATTTATCCGATATGAACTTTAGATTCTAACTTGAGTCAATGAGTTATAACCCACCACAATCATTATTTGTGTTAATGCTCAAATTGTCCCAGATTTAGCCAATTTGGCTACAGCCTCTAGCTGCTCTGTCTTTTTGACATATACCCAATATTCTTTGAGCACCTCTTTACTTTCTGGTGCAACAAAATGTTTCAAGATCATCTTGTAATTCCCAGCCACAGCCCCTGAATCTGCCCTTTTCCAAGGAGCCCTGGTGCATTTTAGTAGAGAACGATATTTAGTAACCAAGATCTGGGTGCTTGGTGTACTTATCACTATTTATATAGGCTCTCTCAGTGGACAGAGCTAGGAAATATATGCATGTGTATACATTGTGTATATGCATACATTTATTTCTATACTTATGCACGTTAAAAACCAGAAATTCATATTGATATCCATTGGAAGAAAAGAGGAATGACAGAATCTGACTTATTTTTTAAAGGATCACTTTGTCCAATGTGTTCAGAGTAGACTGTAAGGGAACAAGGAAGAAGAACAGAAGCAAGGAAATAATTTAGGGGCTATTGCAGTAATCTGGGTGAAAGATGAGGGTGGCTTGGACCAGGGTGTAGTGGTAGAGTAGTGACAAGCAGTCAAATATTTTAAATAATTGTTGACTGATTCAATGTGCAGTGTGTGAGAGAAGAATTAGAGATTATCCTAAGATTTTTAGTTTGACCAACTGAAGAAATGGAATTTCCTTCCATTAACTAAGATAGAAAGACTAGCAGGTTTTGGGGAAGACAACCAGGAGTTTGGTTTGGACATTTTAAGATTGATTGCCTATTAGATATCCAAGTGGAAATGATACATAGGCAATAATAGTATATATGCATCTGTAATTCAGGGAAGAGTTCTAGAGCTGGGGATGAAAATTTTGGATGTATTAATATTATTGGTTGATATGTAAAGTCCTGAGACTGGAGATCACTAAAGGAGTGAGTACAGATAAAGAAGAAGTTAGAAAATTGAGCCTTGGCAACACTCCAACATTTAGAGATCCAGAAGATTATGAGCCAGCAAATGAGTCTGTGAATGAACTGCTAATGTCCTAGAAGGAATATCAGAAGAGTGTGGTGTCCTAGAAGGCAAGCAAAGAGAGTGTTTCTAAAAGGGGAGAGTAAACATCTGTGTCAACTGCTGCTAAATAGTGATCAATGGATTTAGCAATGTAATGGTCATTTGGTAATTTTAACAAGAGCAGCTTTGATGTATAGGGGGAGGCACCTGATTAGAGAGGGTTCAAATGAGAATGGGAAGATGGAATTGTATACAGTGGGCATAACTTGTTTTGCAGCAGAGAACAGAGAAATGGAGTGGTAGCTGGAGGGGGTCATGGGGTCAAGATAACTGTTGTTGTCTTGCTTGTTCTAAATATGAATACATTTCAGTATGTTTGTAGGCTGGTGGGAATAATCCAGTTAGAGGGAAGTTTTGATGATATGGTAAATAAAGAGAGCAATGTCCTTGAGCCCCTATGGGCCAGATGCAATGGGAGATCTAAGTGTAGGGGTTGGCCTTAGGTGGAAGGGTTCATCTACAGTAATGAGGGAAATGAGGAGTATGTGGACACAGGTAGGTAGGTGCGATTGTGGATGTTGACGGGAAAATCTCTTCCAAATGCCTTATTTTCTCAGTCAAACAGGAAGTAAAGCTGAGGGAGGTTGCATGGCTTCGTGGTTTGAGGTGAAAGGAGAAGGAATGAAATAGTACAGAAAAGTTACAAGGTGAATGGATTAAGGAAATGCAATACGACTGCTCGATAGCACTCAGGGAATCACTTTAGTTTGGTGGAGTTATGAATTCAAATTATCAGTTAAAAGGCTTCGGAGTATAAGCAGCAGTGTGAGGCCCGCAAGAGGGCGCTCGCGGAGTGGTGCCGTGTGGCTGAGTCTCTAAGATTCCCATAATAAATGCGGGATCCTCTCAAAGGGAAGAAAGCACTAGAAAACAAATTACTTCCTCTTGATACGCATTCCCAAAAGTACTGACGCTGTGAGCAGGATTCGAACCTGCGCGGGGAGACCCCATTGGATTTCGAGTCCAACGCCTTAACCACTCGGCCATCACAGCCGCGTGCAGCCTCCGGCAGCGCAGCTATAACTGCCAATAACATGCCTGCTTCTGCCGACCAGGTCGGCTATCTCGCAATGTCTATGCGCGTGCGCCCTGGCTGCACCTAGTTTGCATCCGTCATCAGCGGGCCCTGTAGACGCAGCAGCTTTTTTTTCTCCCTCCGAGCCACGGTAGGGCTCCAACAAAATAAACCTAAGTTAGGGTGCAAGGACCCCCAACCTTGAAAGCCGACATACTTCAGAGAGGGGAAATGGGAGTCAGAACTGAAGGAGCACAGGAATGGAAGCCCAAAGAGAGACTTGGGTTGGTAAGAAGACTCCTTGGGAGAGGTTTAGGAAAACCCGCTAGCCTTGAAACAATAATATACCATTCCCACCTGGCCAGAGGCACCGCTGGGATTCGAACCCAGGATCTCCTGTTTACTAGACAGGCGCTTTAACCAGCTAAGCCACGGCGCCGACAGGGTGTATACCGCCTCTACAGATAGATCAGCTATTTATGAGCGCCAGTGAGCAAAGACTATAAAACTATAGCTGCCCTAAGACTTCAGTGATTCATCTTTTTTTGTGTCCCCCACCCCCGCCCCCAGACCCAGTTCCCTTCCCAGATTCTGAGGTTTGAACCAAAGAGTTAACGCTCCACCCATCTCTTCTTCGGCCAACTTAACAGTGCATGGATGGGTGTGTAATTTTCAGCCACCTAGACACCTTCAGGGCTTCAGTGTGGCGATGAAGAAGCCAAATGCCCTCAACTGCTTCAGGACACCAGCAGTTTAAGTCGGTTTCTCCCTCCCTTAGGCACTGTGACCCATGTTGGAACTTGCCCAAGCCCTTAGTCACAAGTTGCTTTTCATCACTCTTTCCCAGGACAAATGCAGCTGAGGTAATGTTAGAAGTGAGAGCAGAGTTTTGAGTTAGGTGGAGATTTAGGAGGTTCAGTGGGGAGAAGAGGGATGGGAATTGCTTACTCACTACAACCTTCCTGGAAGCGGGCCCACACCTCCCCACAAAAACCTCCCCTCACCCAACCCCCAAACTTCATTCCACAAAGTCGGTTTTTGTTTGTTTGTTTGTATTAAAAAATATTAACAGACACAATATCAAAAACACAAATGTCATCGGTAGAGGGTACAGCTGAGAACGCCTGGGTCCCACCTGAGGGGCAGCACCAGGGACTCCATGGTCCACCAACCTCCTCCACCCTGGAGCAGCTAGGGGTTTGGACCATTGGCTCCTGCTTGGGCCTCAGGCCCTCCTCCTCCCATCTGGGGAGGAGGTGGGTGAGAAGGCTGCCTCCCCCAATAAATAAGTGCAGCCTACAACCCTCGGGGACCAGGACTTGGGCTCAGCTGGGACTCGCGGAGGCCACTCCAGCAGCCTGTCAGCAACCTTGTCCAGGGGAAAGGACTCCTCACCAAGGGTGGGAGGTGAGGCTTCTCTAGGCTGGGCTGAAGAGTTCCACCCTTTGTCCCCTCATAGGCTAGAGGCAGCCCCTGGGTCCTGGGCTGGTGATGGGGGTCCGGCCCCCTACAGCAGGAGAAGCTGGGGCAGTTTGCTATTGGTTGGTCCAGCCACATATGAGTTCTGAGAGTTGCAATGTGGGCGAAGGAAGCTTCTCATGTACTCCTGGAGGCCCCAAAATGTAGTCTAGCTGGTGCCATTTTCTGTGGCAGGTAAGGCTGGACTGGATGAGCTCCCACCTTGTTCTCCCTCCTCCATGGCCAGGTCCTCAGAGGTTGAGACCCTGGCCCCACTTTGGGCCCGGGCCTCATCTCCACCTTCGCCTCCACCCTCCTCCATGGGCTCCAGCCCCAATCCATCCAGTTCCGAGAAGAGTGGTTCATCAGGGTGGCCAGCGTCCTGGGTGCTACTACCGCAGTCCACACAAGCCTTGGAGGGAGAAAGGGGATGAGTGAGTCAGGCAAGGTTCTCTCACTGCTGATCTGCTAGCCCAGCTCCCCTTGTCCCCCAGCCCAAGAGTACTTTTAGTCGACAACACTAGTTGAAGAAACACTAGTCGACAGACGCACATGGGGCCAACAAAATTGGAAAATGCACTGTACCCTGTTATCCAGATCCGACCATGAGACAGTCACAATGTATTTACATTAGCATAGATTTAGCCCAGCAAAGGTCTACAAAAACTCATGTGGTTTAATATTATATAACCCAGCAGCAAACTTAGTGGAATTAATATCTTTCAGAATTAATGATCCAAGTACAATAAAGAGATCAACCCTTAGCCCATATCCTTTTGACTTGAGCTCAATTCTTTCTTCTCCCTCCTGGCCCAGACTTCTCCTCTTACCATCACATCAAGAGCCCGAGGCAGCTGGCCCTTCCGGACCCAGGAGTGCACAGCACCCAGTTCCCTTCGCTGGTCCTCTGAAAACCGAGGCTGCTGCTTCTGCATGGCCCGGAGCCGTTCCCGATCCTGCTTCAGCACCGAGGCCATGTCCCTGCCCAGAAAAAGGGTTCAGAAGGCAGAGTCCAGGAGTAGGGGCCAGGGCCCATGAGGCTGGCATACTTCTTCTACCACAACTCCCCACCCACTGCTTCATGCTCCTCCCCTGAACTGGTGATCTGGGAGTTCAGGGCTTCTAAGGCCAGGAAAGCTTCCCTCAGCCTGGGAGGAACTAATGAGGGGGCTCCAACAGGCAGAGGATAGGATGAGAAGCTGAAGAGCCAGCCCCGGAAAAGAAAAATCCAAGTTAGCTAGGCCAGCCTGCACTCACCACCCTCCTCCCCGCAGCTCTGAAAGGGAGGCAGAGGAGGCCTCAAACGCCTCACCTGGAGGGCACCTGGTAGGTCATCATGACACGCTGGTCAGCATTGGCCATGAGCAGCCAGATGGGATCCTGGAGCACGTACTTAATGACCTGGTCCCCAGGCTCAGCCCTGGCCTGGGCAGCCCCAGCCTCAGCTTCTGAAGAGTCGATACTGCCAAAGTACTTGCTTGTGTGGCTGCTCTGACTGCTGCCTGTGAAGCAGGGGACGAACCAACAAAGTCAGGTGGGCCAGTGCTCCCACCCCTGAGGCTTTGCAAAGCCTCACTGAAGGCCACATGTCCAGCCAAATTGGCCTTAGGAAGCAGGGCGTGGGCCCAGGTTTCTCAGTCAAGGTAGGGCCTGGCCTCCCAACTCCCCAGTCACTGTCCTACCCTGGGAAGTATTGGTGGGGGACACTTACGTGTGATGCTGGCTGAGGTGCTGCCCGCCTCATGGGAGCCTGAACCAGACCCAGAGCCCAAGCCAGAGCCCAAGGAGCCCGAGGCAGCAGAGCCTGTGCCAGAGCGAGAGTCTTCTTGCAGCAGCAACTCCAGGAGGTCACTGGAGCCCGAAAGTGCATCTTGATTGGAGGACTCAGTTACCTCCACCTGGAGTGGGTTGGGTGGGGGACAGGGAGGGATTAATGGATCAACACTTGAGTTTCCCTTCAATTGCTTCCACTGGTTGGAGGGCATACACAACCCAAGTGGTCTCTGATCCCACTCAATGTCAGTGGGGCCAGAATGAGAGCAGAGCTGGCAAAGAGAAAGGACATAACGCTAAACCATTTCCAAGTGGCAGATACACTCTCAGAAGTTATTGGGATGTCCTCACCACCCATCAGACTGGACTGTCCCACTTCACAGATGAGACAGCTGATTTCTGCTTCATTCAGAAATTCAGCTGGGGTCTCCCACCCCAGGACACCATCTCCTGGAGATGGGGATGCTAGGCAGGAAGAAGTGCAAGGTGGAGGAGGGGCAAGGGGAGAGGGGCTGCGTGGGGGCTGTAAGAGCTTGCAGGGGGGAGGAGGGGATAAGTGCTCACCAGTCTGGCCTCTGGCTCAGCAGCCTCCTCACTCGGAGGCAGGGGCCCAGCACTGCTCCCAGGGCCTCCTGCAACAGCAACCCCCTCAACACGGGGGGAGTCCTCAAGCTGCAGCAGATTTAGCTGGAGTGGGGAGCTGCATCTCGAGTTGAATAGCGGAGAGTCCGGGCGGTGGGGAGGACTGGGGGGCAGTGGGGGCAGGGATGGAGAAGGGGAGTGGGAGACAGGGGTAGGAGGCCCCTCAGCAGAGGTCTGGGGTATCCCATAGGGATAGCTGGATGGGGTAGGGAACAGATAGTTAGGGAGCACCAAGGCCACCATTGGGGTCACCAGGGGGGCAGGGAAAGCTGCAGGGGGCACAGATGTGGGGGCAGGGGGAAGAGGCTGGGGGCCACCTCGGGGGGAGAACACTGGGAGGGAGTAAGGCTGGACCACAGCTGGGAAGGTAGTAGCTGGTGGTGGAGGCCAAGGGGCAGAGGGTGGCACAGGTGAGGGGTGAGAGACATAGCAGGGGGCTTCAGTCCGGGGGATCTGGTGGTGACGTGAGCGCTTGGCTTTGGATCGGCAGTGGTGTCGGCGGCCAGGGGGTGTGGGGCCATGGCGGCAGCCTGTGGGGAGAGACCAGGATTAGCAAGGGCCTCAGCCTGGGGGTTAGTGTCCCTGCTACCCTGACCAAGGAGACGGCAGGTGAAGGCCCTAGAGAGAGCGTTTGGCTTCCCAACCCACACAGAACAGAGGGGACTCAAGGGAGATGGGAGCCTTCAAGGAAGAATCACAGGAGGCAGGGACAGGGGGATTTATTGAGAAAGGAGCTGGGATAAGGAAAGGTTACATGGTGGGTTGTGCTGGGGGTGTTGCAGAAAAGAGAGGAACGCTGGCAGATGGGAGGAAGCAGGATGGGTCCATGGACGAATGGGCGGGAGCTCCAGTCCATCCGCCAAACTCCAGCAGGCACTGCCAGCCTTGGTGCTCCTTCTGCCAGTTGAGGCCATGCTTTGCCTAGCTCCCGATGTAGTGAAGAGGTGGGCAACAAAGCCCAGTCCTGAGCCCCGTTTCTGCCTGCAGAGGGCCTCCCTCACGCACCTGCCAGGCTGTCATCTGCCCTTGAAGCCTGACCCAGCTGTCCCAGCCCTCTTTGCCTGTATTTGGCCCAGAGTCTATATAGATCTCTTAAATCAGCAACAACTGAGTCCTAAGTGGGCATACTTCCTGCCCCTGCCCCCAGGCTGAGCCTGAAGTAGCTTACCTGGAGCAGAGCACCTCCGCCTGCCTGTCTCAGTGCCAAACCCCCAGGCTGCCCTCCTCTGGCTGCAGCCTGGAATCCCAGCCTAGTGGGGAGAGGCTAGAGAGGGGCCTGTCCATAGGCAGTGCCCCGGTGGCAGAGGCAGCACCAGCCTGGGTCCCTGGTGCAGGAATATCTCCCTCAAGAACCCCCTCCCCTCAACAGTGTGGTCCTAGACTAGGCAGAGGGCAGGCTCAGAGAGATAACGGATAGCTACCTCGCTCACCAGGGGCTGAGGGGGCTTTGGAGGAGCCATCGAGTCCACGCAGCCTGCCAAGGTCACGGAAGCGGCTGAGGAAGGCCTGCTCCTCCTTCTGTGTGTGCAGGGACAGCACGGCCTTGGTCAGGCCCACAGGGCGGTAGGCATCTGGGACTGGGTCAGGGGCTACTGAGGGGCTGGGGGCTGGGCTGGGGGCTGGGCCTGGAGCCAGGCCAGGCAGGTCCTCCATCATGATGATGTCTGAGGAAGGTGAGATGGGGGAAAGGTCATTGGAATCACCTCAGGAATTAACACATCTACACCACACCCTCCCTGTCCAACAGCTTAGCCAACCCCTGGCCTCTGCCCCACAGCCAAGCCTGGGCCCCATGTGCATCTTTTGGCCAGATGAGGACTGGCTCTGGGCTCTCTTCCCTATGCAAAGCTGTCCCAGGATACAGAAGATACTCCCCTCCAGTGGCACTACCCTAGGAAGACATCTCCATGACTCTTATTGGAAGGGAAGCCCACCCCCTTCCCTTCCCTCCCTCATTTCCCAGGTCAATGCCTTTCAGGGGTTTTCAATAAATCTCGGGGCTGACCCCCACCCCCACCCCAGGCTCTGTGGGTAAACTGACAACACAGGAAGCAGGATGGGGGAAAGACAAAGCAGCAAAGGCTGGCGGGGGTGGAGGCAAGAAGCAGCAGCCCCAAGCCAACACTACGGCCTCCTTCTCTCCATCAGGGACAGAGGGGGAGGGAAAAGGCAGGCAGGAGGGAGCTCTGGCTGGGGACTACGGGGAGCCTGGGCACTGCCCCCTCACTCCACGCCCATACCCGACTCCGGGGGCTTCTTGTCTCCCACATGGACGATGGTGGAGCTGAAGCTACACTGACTGGTGACGGACACCACGCTCTCCGCCTTATTGGCCAGGGCGAGCGGGCTCAGGGTGCCTCCCACCACCGGCTCCTTCCGAGGGGTGGCCCCCTCCCCAGACAGCACTGCCGATGGATCTGTGCAGAGAGATGGTGCCAGTTACCACCACCACCCCCAACAGGTGGTCAGGAGAGGGAATCCCAGGGAAGAGGGGGAGGGATGGATGGTAGGGAGGAGACTGGAGATCTGGAGGCTGGGAGGGGGACAGGGCAGAGCAAGGTGGGGGCCCCAAAGGCAGAAGGATAGAGACACAGGGCCAGCGGGCCAGGATGGGGCAGTGGGAGCAGGGCATGCACTGGGTCTTTACCTTTCTTGGTCCCCACAGGGACTGGACCTGTCTTCTGCTTGTCATCATCAGAGGATGAGGAGGCGGTGCAAGAGGAGGAGGAGGCACATTTACGCTTAATCGTGCTAGGGATGTTGCAGCTCTCCAGGTACCTGGCGATGCACCAGAGGATATGAGAGCAGGGCCTGAGGTGGGGTGGGGCCAGGGCCCAAGGGGGAGAAGATGCCAGACCGGCCTTACCTGAGGATGCTGTCTAGGCAGTTGATCTGCTGGTAGGAACAGCTGGGGGCTTCTTTCCTCTCAGCCTCCTCAGGGGCCAGCGTTAGTGGGGCCTGCACTGGAGCAGGGGCTGCCTCCAGCTCTGGGTCTGGGGACCGGCAGGGAAGGGTTTTGGTCTTGGTCTTGCCTGTAGCTGGGCCAAGGAGAGAGAGAAAAAAGGAAAGTTCCTCTGGGTTGGGGTGAAGGTCAAGGGACCCCAGGTCTCTCTCCTCAACCACACCCTTACCAACTCACCAGGGAGGCAGGGCCGAGGCAAAGGCCGAGCCCGGGACTCAATAAAAAGCTGCTGCCCCTGGTGCTTCACCAGATGCACATCCTTACAGATCTGCTGGAAGGTCACCTGTAGGACAGAGCAGGGCAGCGGGCATCATTGGGGGATCCTGCCAGTGTCAGGGGCCCAGGGCACAGTGCAACAAGAAGGTACCAGTGGGGAGGCATGGAGGCCAGGAGCATGACAAGAAGGAAATGGAGGGGGGATGAGGCAGAGCTCCTTTGGTATTGGCAATGCTGATTCCAAGAAGGACAGGGGAAGAGGAGACTAGCGGGGTGAAGTGGGAGAAGGACACTCACCGGGGCAGGAGGCCCAGGTCCCTCTGCATCACCCCCATTGCTATCACTGGAGGAGCCAGGGCTGAGGAGAGGGCCTGGGGAAGTCACAGGGCCAACTCCACAGAGCCCTGTGGGGCTGGGGCTGTGCACAGGCTGAGGCAGAGAGAGGAACAAGTTAGGTGTCTACAGCCCTGTACCCTACACCCCTTCCTCATCTCCCAAGCCCCCTCCCCTCAACTCTCACCTGTAACAGCAGCCGGTGGATCTGCTCAGATAGCTCCTGGATATCAGGGTCCAGGGACAGAGCTGGGCTGGGGGCCGGGGGAGTGAACACATCCTCATTCAGGGGTGCCCTGTGGGGTGGTGAAGGGTAAGTCGAGCCCTGCCGCCCTCACACTGTCCCACCGCCCAATGCCAGCTCTGGGGCATGGCCCACTTACGTGCGTACTTTGTGGCGGCCCAACACAAAGGCTACCTTGCGGCTCCAGGGGTGCACAAAGCCAGCCCAGCTGGTGTCCATGGTGACATACTCTCCATTACGGGCACAGAAACGGATAGGAGAGTGATCAAAGGGTTGACCAGCCAGCTGCAGAACTGAAGGGAGTAGGAAATGAGGTGAAGGTCAGCAGGAGAGAGAGCTGAGTAAGGCGGAGAGCCGCCCCACTGGAGATCCAGGAGACCAAGGCACCAAGACACATAACCACAAGGGCAGCCATTAAGAAGCACTGGAGGGACAGCCAAGTGGCTCAGTTGGCTATGAGCTCGCTCAAGAGTGTGAGCTCTGAGCAACAGTGGTTCGAGTCCCGGCCCGAGCTGAGCTGCCAACAGGTGGCAGGATGGCTCAGCTAAAAAAAAAAAAAAGCAGCACTGGAGACAGCAGGAAGGAAGAACAGGGTAAGAGGAACTCACTCTTCTTGTGGATAGCCAGCATCAGGGGTCGGTCCTCGGGATGCAAGAACAGGAGTACTGGGGCCCCCAGGAGGTCCTGAGGGAGGTAGCCTAGCAGTGGGGCAGCCCTGAAATGAGAGGAGGCATCAGTCTTGCCATGACCTCAGCTCTGGGAACTCACTTTTCCTCCAGATCCTGACCTCACCTTTCATCCACATCCTGGAAGAGGCAGCTGGGTGTGTGTCGAGTGGTGAAGATCCTCTTGTCGGGGGGGATCCGGGGAGCTAAACACAGAAAGTGTGGCCATTGGGTTTCATCTGGAATGGTCCTCAGCCCTCCACGCCGCCTGGGGCCCAGGCCGGTTAGCAATCCTTCGCCACAGCTCTGCCATGGGCCTTCTGGCCTACAAAGATGGTCTGGACCATTCTTGTGCTCCATACCAGTAATGAAACTGAGAACGAGGCCCTCTTCTTTGTCCTCTCCTAGCTTAGGGACTCTTATCCAACTCTACCTCTAAAGGGAGTTCTCAAACTCTCATCTTTATAATACCTTCTCTGTTTCAAAATTCTGACAGGCTGGTTATGCCTCCCAGACTCATGTTCTGCCTCACCCTCAGTTTAGAAAAGGCACCCTTCCTCTACCCCCACCAAACAGGCCCTGGCCTGCGCACCTTCGTAACCCGAGTGGATGCGTTCTGCGATGAGCAGGCAGCATGGCTGCGCGGAGGTCTCATCTGACACCCGGATCTTGGTCACATATGGGGTCAGGCGGAATGGCTGGTACCGAGGCCCTGGATCCTTGTCAGGACCTCCTCTAGCAAGGGAGAGAAAGAGACATTAGAGACTATCAATGAAGGGTCACCCACCCTCTACCTCAAGGTCACAATTCACACAGTAAAGAAAGGGGGTATGTGGAAGGTGAGAGGGATCTGCTCCCACTTCCCCCACCTACCTGATACGGCAGAAGACAGACTTCTCCTGAGTGAAGTCCTTACAGCCTGAACCTGGAACAGACCAGGAGGGAGGTGAGCACAGCCCCCTACTACCCTCCCTGGGCTGAAAAGAACTAACAAGGAAAATGTTGGGTCCCTTGGCCTCTCATAGCAGGAGATTTCTGGGACTGCTCAGCCCTCCCCCCATGCACTTGGGGACCTCACCTGCGGAGGCCCCAGTGCCCCAGGTGGGCAGGCGAGATGGAGCAGTGGAACCATAGAAGACGCCGACATCCTGGGGAGCCAGGAGCTCTGAAAAGCGGACACCCCGGAACACATCCCGCTTGCAGCGTAGCAGGATACCTGCCTGCTCCGAAATATAGATGATTCGGCCTGTCAGGAAGGAGACAGCCACGGAGAAGGTATCCTGGGCAGGAGAGTAAAGACAAGAGTAGATTCAGGAGCCATGAGGGTGGGTGGGGATGGGGTTGTGTTGGAATGGGGTTGTGGCTGACCTGGTTGCGAAGCGTGTACTCAGACGTAATATGCTCCAGCTCCTCCAAGGTGTAGGTGGACATGTCCATGGCACAAGGTTCACCCTCCTCCAGGCTCCACTGCTGGTAGTATTCCTGGTTGGCTACAGGGTGAGGGCAGTGGGGCATGAGGAGACTGCTCCACCATAGTACCCCAGGACGTTAGGCACTGCCCTCCTAGGAAGCACCACTCACCCTGAACCTGCTTGACACAGGCCAGTGCATACTGTAGCGTGGCCAGGGTCCCAGAGCGGCCTTTGCCCCGGCGCTCTGGCGGCAGCCGAAGCTTGAGCTCCCGCAGCGCCGTCATAAGTTCCTTCTGGGTCCTTGCCCGGGCTGACTGTTCACTGCTGCAGGGCCCGCAGGGAGGGAGTGGATATAGGCATTAGCCCTAGAGCATGACCCAAACCCCCAGCCTCTCCTCCGGCCCTCACCCCACAAACCTGCAGCCACTGGTAGATGGGTTGTCCTGCTCAGAACTGGCACTAAGGAGGCTGTAGGCAATGGAACTGCTGGGTGGGGATGGGCTCTGAGAATTTGTGCTAGAGGAGAAGAAACAGGACCAAGATGAGGGGAAAGTGGCCAGCAGCATGGGCCTGTCTCCAAGCTGAGCCTGTTCACAAGTCCACTCCCAGACAGTAAGTATAACACACATCTTTACACACCTCTTGCTGCTCTCAGTGGTCTCCAGCAGGGCGGAATCCTTGCCATTACCAGAGGAGGAACTATGTGAGCTCCGCTGAGATGCACCTCTGGACTCGGGCCCATTGGACTCATTGCCACTTGAGCCATTGCTGTTAGCATCTGTATCATCAGCCAAGCTGGAGCCCGGGCAAGGCCGGTGCTGTGGAGGCCCAGGGGATGGGGCCCCTCCAGGACAAAAGGATTCCCCCGGCCTGGGGTCCCCTCCCCCATCAGCCCCTTCTAGAGGACCACTCATGTCTGCGCCATGGGGAGAGCAGGCAGAGAACAGGGATGGCAGGGAGGCCACAACGGATACACAAGGGGGCCGGGAGGCCTGGCTAGGGGATGAGGTGGGAGACCCAAGCCTCTGAGGGTTTAGAAGTTCGACCACTGCCAGTACCTGGAGAGGAAGACCAGGAAAGAGAGCTTAGAGAAAGCTGGGCTGTTAACTTCAGTACCTGCCGGCTTCACTGAGACCCTCCCCAGCCTGCCTCCACGCTCCTGGAACCTGGGCTTCCAATAGGCAACCTAGGTAACTTCTGTTTCCTGTCCCCATAAGGGGGGGTTGTAGGTGGGAAGGGGGTCTCTCTTTGGTGTTGCCCCACATCCCCTGCCAACGTGGCCTGGATAAGTACAGCCTGAGCAGTTGACTAGAACTACCGCTATTGGCCAAAGCCCGGACACTTCCCATCATCCCCAAATTCCCACCGAGCCCCCACACTGCCTGGCACTCCAAGGCCTCTGGGCAAGGGTGAGTCTGTCGCCTCCTATATTTAGGCCTCCCGGCTAATTTTATCCGGGGGCGGCGCCACCCCCGCTGCACATGCGCCGGGACAGGCGCGGCCCCACCAAGCGCTTCCGCTGCCGCCGTCGCGGTCGCCAGGGAAACCGACGTCAGCTGCTGAGCTCAGCGGTTGCTGGAGGGACCAATGGAGAGCGGGAGGGGCGACCCCTCCCCCATTTCCCCGCGGAAGTGGGGGATCGACCTGCTCCCACACTGGCGGGTGTGGCCAGGGGTCGCCCACCTCTAATACATCTTCAGTACCCTGAGAGCCCGGTGGCCGTAAGAAGAGCGGCGGCCCATCGGGGTTCCACGAATTGGCCTTGCTCCCCAGGACAAAACACAACTGCCACCGCCCTCAGAGCAAAAGCCCAGCAACCTGGCGCTCGCCTGGATCCGTCATTCTGGTCAAGACCACATACAGCCTTTCCTTTTCCTGCCCCTACCCTCTCTCCCGACCCTCAGAACTGAAGCCGGCACCTGCCATTGTCAGGGACTCAGGAATCCTCGCTCCTCAGTCCTCTACTTTCCAGACAACCCCATCCTCACCCCCATCCGAGGCAGACACACTCAGCTCCAAGCCAGAGACACACAATAGCCAGCGGATAGTTCATCCCCTACTCCCTGTCCAACCACACCCCCAACCCCCGAGCATTTTCTGAGCGCCAGGAGAAAAGGGAAGGCTGTGGCCAACAGCAGGAACTAGCGCTGGGAACGGGATGTTCCAACCCGAACCGGGCTGACATCACGGCCGGCGCCGGGCCAGGGATTGGAGGGGGGAGAGCCGGGAGAGCGGAGAGCCTGGTTGGGGTCCTGGTATCGGAGCAAAACCGTGGGCGCCCGAGTGACAAGAAAGGCGGCAGGGGGCATGCCTGCTGAAGGTTGGATGTGAGGCCGGGAAAGCTGGGAACGGGAGGCAAAGCGGGAGGTAAGGTAAGCGGGTCAGGAGTGCAGACACCGGGTGCAGGGTTGCAAGGAACACCTGGGCCCCCAGGGGCAGAGAGGGAGCGGACAGCCACAAGGAAGACGGATTACTGGCGTGCCGTCTGAGCGCCTGGGCCGAAAGCGGCACATAAGATTGGAAGTGGTGGCGGTCCGGCTCGGGGGCCGGTGACCGGTCCCCGGGTGGCCACGGAGACGCCTACCTGTCTGCGCGAGCGCCCTCCAGTCGCCTGCCCGCCGCTGTTGCAGCCCGCAACGGAGTGGAAGCTCCGGGGGGACAGGAGGCGGGTTGCATAATGCCAAGCACTGCCCCTCATTGGCCTCCCGCCAGCGGAGCCACAGGCCCCGCCCCCGACTGGCTGGATCTCGTCCTGGAGCCTGATTGGCTACTGGCCCCTACTGAGGTCAGGGCTGTGTCACACACACGGGCGCACGTGGATCTGGGTGCTGGCACTGAGCTGAAGGGCCCCAGACACCACCGCCCCGCCAATGGGCGCAGGACGCCTTGTACAGTAAATACTAAAAGAGAGGGGATGAGAGGGGAAACGAGGGGAAAGTAAGCTGCCCTTCTCTTCCGGGAAAATGCCAGGGCCACGGTAGGTGCCTAAGAGATATCTACTTCCTGAACTGACCAGCCTTGCAGAACAGAACACCTTGGCCTTCCTAGGGGTGGGGTAAAAAAAAATGCAGACGCTGGGAGATGGGCCAAGCTGGGTAATAATGGCTGGTCCCTGGGAGGAGGGGGACAGACAGAAAACTCGCCTGGTCGTTACTGGGTTCTCTTCCTCAACCTTGTCATAATAAAGCCCTTTTACCCAGCCCTTTCCTTTGACACTTGAAATCCTGTGAACAGCTAGCTAGAAGGGCAATTGATGGCCCACGTGTGATGGAGTTGCGGGAAGGAGACAAACAATAGAAGGGACAGTCAGAACCAGTAGGGGCTGTGAAGAAAAATAATGGGTGCTTCTGGGGCCAATCAGAGAAAAGGTCTCCGGGCAGCCAGGGGTTGTGGGTTGGGTGACTAGTGCTTCTCTCCAGAGGATGCAGACACCCACAGTTAGGGCTGCCCCCAAAGTCGGGGGGTGGGAGGTAAGGAAGCCAGAGTTACAGCGGAACAAAGGGGGTGGCTGAGAGAAAAGACCAACTGGGACCCTAGATAAAGGTGGGGTGGCAAGGGCTTCAGATACCCACCACTAGGAAAAGAGAAAGCCAAGGACATCATCTGTCTCCTTCACTATTCCCCAGCCCCCAGGACAGAACCAATAAAAACGGTGATTTTTGTCGTTAACAAGGATAGATAGGGGAGGGAAAGGGGTTTCAGCAATGGAGAATGGGCTGAAAATTATAGCCTATTTAAAAGAAGGGGGAGCAGAACATTGAGTCCTAAAAAAAGAACAGAGGCCTGATTTGGGGGATAAAGTGCTAGGCTGGGTCCAGGAGAGATGCAGTTACACAGACCTCTCCATCCAGAACTGTGATGAGTAGTTCCTCTCAGGGCTCCCTGGAGATGTGGGTGGCAAGTGAAGAGGCCCCCAAGCTGATGCTGACATAATCAGCTGTGGGTGCATGCCCCTCACTGTCACGTGGCTTACGCTTTCCTTAACAATGGTGTTTCCCATTGGAGGGCCAGTGGGAAGGCTCTATGGAAAAGCTGGGGGGTGGGGATGGGGGGTTATAAAATAACCTAGAAAAACCAAAGCAAAAAAACAGGAAAGAAAGGATTCAGGAGCCCAGATTTTCAGTCTCGTCTCCCTGAAAATGTACCCCCAACTCACATACTGTGGCCCTGTCCCTTGTCTCATATTCAGACACCTCTTCTCTGGAAACATCATTTTTCTTTCTCCCCAGCTCTCCGCAGGGATTTAGGTGTGATCTCCCGGGATACAGGCAGTCCTTGCTCTCCCACCTCCTTATTTATTTCTTGCATAGACAAAAGGGGCCGGCGCTCCAGTAGCCCTCACCTGCTCTCAGAGCCCTGGTTGTCCTGCCTCACCGTCCCCACAGTAACCAGGCCCTGCTGCCGTCAATGGAGGAGAGGGGGCGGGAGACAGAGGTGACGTCAAAGCGGAGGAAGGGGGCGGGGCGAAGCAGCCGGGGAATGTGGGGCAGGGAGGTTGGAGAGGCAGCGGTTTGGGAGGCGGCCAGCCCAAGAAGGAGGCAGCCAGCGCACTTGGGAACACCATGTTCTCTTGGCTGGTGGCCCAGGACATGCACCCAGCCCGGACGCCACCCCCAACCCAACGACAGCCGTCCTGTCCCAACGCCAGGGATTCCTGGAGAGAGGATTAGAAGGAAGGGGTCCTCCTCCCCCGCCCCTATGCCTGATTCTCTTCTCCAAACTCGCATCCTCGCTCCCCTCGGCTTGTTTCTACAGCTCCTGGGAATGGGTTTTCTCCTCTTCCAAATTGTACACATTTGCTGCCCTGATCCCGAAGAGCTAGGTTGGGGAAGTTGGAGGCCCAGGTTCTGTAAGAGAACACGCACCTTTGCTCCTTCAGAGAGGCCCCCTTCAGAGCCTGAATCTCTTGTTACTATGGCAGCAGAGAGAGGGAGGAGGAGTAGAGAGAATAGTCTAGGATGAGGAAATCATACTGGGACAGAACAAATGGCCCAGCCTGGGGCCTGAATCCTGGGGAGAGGGATAAAAGGGTGGAATGGGGGTTTGGGGCTGGTGCCGGAAAATCAGAACCAGGAAGAAGGAAATGCGGAGGGAGTCACCAAAACTTGGCAGAAAAACTTGAGAATGTGAAAGTAGTTTCCAACCACAGCATTCACACCAATCTCTTGCCCTATCACTGTTGTTTTGTCATCCTTCAGGCATTTTTTAGCTAAAAATTTAAAACATGACCCAGGCATTGTGCTAACCACTTTATATACATTATCTTCTTTAACCATCAGAACAATCCTGTGAGATGGGTATTATTATCCCCATTCTACAAGGACCCACTAAGGCTCAGAAGCTACTAAACTTCACTAAATTGCCTTATAGTATGTCCTCAGGGTTCAAATATGAGCTCTTACGATGGCTTGTCATTCTGGCTTTTTAGCCTTCTGCAACCTGTGAGGTGAATCCAGCACCGGGAAACCTGGACCTCTCAAATATCCAGCTGATTTTGAGTTTGGTGCCTGGAACACAGACTCCATCCAATCCCTCCTCTCCTTTGCAATATTCAGTGTGTACTCCCCACACACTTCGAATCATCATAGCCCCAGTTTTCATATGCTTTCGAAGTCCTTGAGATCCTAGCAGCTAGCTACCAGCCCCAGTGATTTCCTAGGAACCCCACTTCTTCACTTTCCCACCCTACACCAGGTCCTTTTACCACCTGCCCGGTTGTTTGAGCACCCTGTTGGTTCCTCCTCACCTCCAGGGGCTCAGGAAGACATGTGTACAGCCAATCTGCACAACCCCATCCTCCCTCTGAGGACCCAACACTTTTACTCCCAAGGATGGCTCCGAGGCCCAACCCCTCCCGTTTACACATAAGACTTCCAGAGCCGTGATGTAACTGGCTCAGGGTCACACAAATCACCACCACCGTGTCAAACCTTTGGAACCCTCCCACCTGTCCTACCAGTGCGTCCTTCCAGCCTCAGAACCCGTGCCTCTTTCAAGTGCTCAAGGCACATACCCAAACAACAGCTACGCACAGGAACGTCCACCACCAGCTCTCAGGGATCCCCGTCCCAGTACCTCCTTGGGAGCTGGGGTCTCAGCTCCCTCAGGGCGCTGAGGTCTTCCAAGCCCCTCCCCCCAGGCAGTCAGGGGTCCAGGTACCCTAGGGCGGCGAGGGATCTGATGTCAGTGACTTCCGCCCTCTAGAGCTGAATTCTCGGTCCCTATTCTCCACAACTATTAGGGCCCGCACCGAGGTGATCACGCAGTCGCAGGAACCTCCCCTCCCCCAACACACACACACACTCCATTAACACCCCTACTGACAGAACACACCACACCGGAAAAACTCACACGGACCCCTGCTCACCTCCCTCCAGCCCTGAGCACTCACCGCTCGACAAGCACGCAGGGTCCAGTCTCTTCCCAACTAGGACCACAGAGACTCGGACTCGCTCCTCCAGAAGCCCGCCCACCGACTGGGATGCCACGCCCCTCAAGCTTATTGGCCTAAGGCGCCGATCCATGCCCCGCGCCGCGTGCGGCCGCCGAGCCCCAGCAGAGCCACCATTGGCGCCGCCCGCCGCCGTCATCATCTCATTGGTCAAGTTTGCCAACCAGCAGAGACAGATACACGTGCGGGAGGGACTGCCCGGGCGCGTTATTGTAAGTCTGACAGAAAGCCACACCCCCACCCACTTCCGAAGTTCAGATTGGCTGTGGCAACACACCGAATGGCCTAAATCAGTGATGTCAGTGCCAACCCAGCCCTCCGAACTTTCTCATAGGCTGAGGTCTCAGAGCTGTTGAGGACACGTGCCGGCGGCCTCACGCGGCAACTTGTTTACCTAGAAGCTGGGGATTTTTCTTGACGACACTCCTACCCAAGGCTGCGGAGCCTGCGCAGGCGCACCAAATGTGACCTATAAGCATGCGCAGACGTGAGCGGCGGAGGCTTTGGTAGGGGTGCTTTGTGCCGAAACCCGGATGAGTGGTCCAGTAGGGACAAGAGCCCTTCCAGCCCTGGGAATTCGGCCCTGGGTCCCTGAGGCTCGCCGAGGTTGGAAGGTGCATTAGGGTGAAGTGGTTTTCGGATCTCAGTGCCGCGTGAGGGTGACGACGATGAAGATTATGGCAGGCTCCTGATTTTTTGTGGGCCAGGCCAGGCTCTTCACACAGACCCAGAGGCCGGCTCACTTACTACCTACCCACTGCCTCACAAATGAGAGTGAAATCCAGAAAGGTAACATAATCCGTCTTGACCAACATACTAGTCAGTAATGAGGCCAATATTTGAACCCAGGTTCAAAGGCCTACAAGAACTCTAAACCTGTATTCAGTAGATGAAATGCGAAAAAGCTCTGAGCACTGACTGGAATATAGTAAACCTTCAATAAATTGTGTACATTATAACAACTATGTGCCTAATTATAAAAATCATCTCGACCCCTTAGTACTGCTGAATCATTATCTCCAGGGAAGGGGCTTGAGAATCTATTTTAAAATGCATTCTTGGTAGTGCTTAGGAGTCCACAAGTTTGGGTTGCATATACTGCAGAATCCTCATGCTGCAGCCCAGAGAAGTGGGTCTTCCAGAGCTCTCCTAGCACACTTCACTCATTGTTGAAGCGCCTGGGGACAGGAATGCTAGGGTGCCACATCAGGGGCATGATATATTTATTGGGTTGTCGTTAAAGTCATGACGCATTTTTGCAATGAAAACGATAGAAAAAATAAATCATGAATTTTTCCGACAACCTAATATATCATGGATTAGTCACCAGCAGGACAACAGAGTGCAGGGGTAACAGGCCATCTACAGTCAGCTCCCACACTCAGCTGGGTCTCCCTGGGCCAATTTGTTCAATAAGTATTTATTAATCCCTTCTGGACACAGCTGGCACTGTGTCAGGAATAAAGGGGAAGAGATGTTGGCCGTTTACTTCAGGCAAGAGTAAATGACCACAGGAGTGAATGACTGCACAGCGTATGGGAGTTAAATCAAGGGGTAAAAGGGATCCAACAAACAGCAAGAACATGCCCCCACGCAAGAGAAAAGGGAGGTGAGGGGAAACCTGGGAAGCTTAGACCTCAGGGTTCACCAGGGTGAGACATAGATATCCACATTCCCATTAACTACTCTTGGTGCCCCCCCCCACGTGGCCACTTTGGGAACCACACTTCGTCCTGCCCAAGGTCAGGCCCTCTCCAGCAAAGCTCAGTCTCTTCCCAATGTATCTTTTCAACCTTCCTGTTAAACCTGCAGACCCAACACCCTTCCCACTGGTTAAGAAAAGATCTTAGAACAGACACATTTACTCATTACACATTTATTGTACATTTTCACAATCTGGATGCGCCACAGAATTGGGGGCATGGGGTGAGGGGAGGGGGGCAGGGGACACTGGGATAATATGGGGGGGTCTAGAGCACAACACCCCCAACCCCAGCATCTCTCCCTACCCTTTCACACCACAGCTTAGATCTCCTGCTCTCCCTCCACACAGACACCTTGAGTGTGGGGGAAAGAGTTTGGGGGGGGGGTCCCCTCTAGTGATAGTTTAAGGGACTGCACCCTTAAACCCCTAAAATTGTGCCATTTAAAAAGACATTAGACCCTTCCTCTATCACTTCACCTAAGGAGGAGACAGTTCTCTCTCTGGGCTCGACCACCCTGGAGAGGGGCGAGAACCCCCATCTTTCAGCAAGTCCCGTACACACATTGGCAGTGACTAGTACCCACGCTCTGAAATCAGCGAGGGCAGTCAGAGGAGCTGGGCAGTGAAGGAGGCAACACCTTCCAAACTGAGGAGGGTTTTCAGTCCAACCCCCAGCAGGGGTGGGGGCAGAGGAGACTTCAGGAAGGAATTGGGGAGATTCTCTGCCCTGCTCCACTCCTCTCCAAGGCAGTGATGACCCCTCACACACTGGCAGCCACCTCCCAAAAGATATCAGATTGTGGTCAACCCCCAACTCTCCTGGTGGGAGGAGGAGGGGGCAGATCAGGCAGATGGGAGGGAGACCCCATGGGAATGTCAGTTGAGTGCCCCACATGAAAACTGGGGATCAGGAATGTGGGGAAAAACTCTTAAGTGGCAGAATTATTGGTCCATCATAACACACTGAACTCCAAGACACTTACACACCAGCTGGAGGGAGGGAGAGGAGGGGACAAGAGGTTTGGAAAATGGGGGTAGGGGAGGCAAACTAGACTAGCGGGGTTAGGAGGGAATGATTCTGGGGGCCAGAGCAGCCTGGTTCCCCAAAAGCCCAGGCTCCCCACCACCTACAAGTAATGTCATGCAAATGAAAGTGTGACCAATGGGGACTAACTCCTCAGTAAAAAACAAACAAACAAAAAAACCAGACGGGTTGAAAAAAACGAAGAGTGATGGAACAAAAAAGAAAACCAAAAGGGATGTCAGTGTGCAAATGAATGCTAATTAACATGCTGAAAACTCCCAGACCTTGGGATTCTTAGGACCAAGTGGGGCCAGTCTCAGGGCCTCCCAAAGGATGCATAGAAGATGCACCTAGGGATGCCTGGACAATTGCTTTTGTTTTTTTTTTTTGTAGGGGGGTGTGGGTATGGGGAAGGCCAGGGTGGGAGGAAGGATCAGCTAAGTCCAAGGAAAAAAAGGGAGGAAGAGGGACTATTGCATAGCAGATGCAAATGAAGGGACTTGGGGCTAGTCAGGAAAAGAGGGAAAGGGAAGGATGGAAAGAGGAAGGAAGGGAACCTCAGGAAGGGGTGTTAAGGACAACCGGAAAAATCTTCTAGTAATAAAACTACAAACAGACCAAATATATATAATATTATATATGTATAAATAACAGCTGGCTATTTACAGGGGGGCACACACACAGACACACACGGATGGGGGGCTGGAAGATATGGCTGAGAGGTGGAGGAGCAGCTGGGAATGGGGGGGAGAGGCCCTTCTCTGGGCAGGGCAGGCTCCTCAGGGGTTTAAGAGCTGAAGTAAACTGTAGAGAGGGAAAGAAGGATGAAGGGGGAGAGGGGAGAAAGAGAGAGAAAGCAGGGTGTCAGGCCTGGCCCTGCTCCCATCCTCCCCACTCCCCAGCTGGCTGACATCCCTTCCCCTCTGGGTCTCAGGTTCTCCCCTTGTAAAGCAAGGGAGTTGGACAGGGGGTCTCTTCAACCCCATGGTATGGCCCTAGGGCCACACACCCCTAATCCTCTGGGCCTCTGAGACCACAGCTCTTAAATAATTTGGTGGTTGGCTTCCTAGCCATATATAAACCCCTGGGCCTTTCCTGCTCTCCCACTCCCCAATTTCAGGGTTCCCAGACTGGGCTCTTAGGCCCAAAGAGTCCTCAAGGGAGCAGTGAGGATCCACCAGCTTCCTTGCTTCCAAAAAATCTTAACAGAATTGCCCAGAACCAGGCAAAACGCAGGCTAAACATCAAGGTTTAGAGCTCTAGATGAATCAGAACTGCCATTAGCAGCTATATATGCTTTTTGATGAATAGTAAAAACTAGGTTAATGACCTTCAAAACCCAGAACTCATAGGGAAACCTCTCCAAAGAAAGGGCCCTAGCCACTCCTGCCCTACTCACCGATGATGATGATGAGGATGATGGCGCAAATCACTCCCAAGATGATCATCATCTGCAGGTAAGAGGGGAGGGTCAGTGGACAGACCACAAACTCCCCATCCACCCACCAGTCTTCCTGCCTGCCCTCCCACCTGCCTCCACCATTACCTTGAGGTTTTTCCACCAGTATTTGCGCTTGAGCTTGGCTGCACTTGTTTCAAACTGGGAGGCCCCCGCCTGGAGTGCATCTGCACGGTCGTCCAGCTCCGACAGCTTCTGGTCCCGCTCCAGGACCTTGTCCACGTTCACCCTCATGATGTCCACCACCTGGAGGAGGGGCCCACGAGGCAGGGGGTGTGCCAAGGTCCGCCTCAATGAGGGCACTCATCGGCCACCATGCCCACATACTGAACAAGCACCCTGATGTTGCCAGGCTAATATGCCAA